TGCTGCCGGACCCAGACCACTCAAAATCGTGAGCTGAGACTTGTCACGAAAGCACAGCTTTGACATGTGTCGACGAAAACCCTTCTCAAGTTCAACAAGCACAGCGACATCCAACACTTCCAGCAGACTACCGCGCAAAAGCCAATTGTAATGACACAGCAATGCACACTGTGCAGCAAAATCGCATGTCATGCTTGGAAAGTTACGTACGTTTCCACATGTTTCATCATGTTTCTACGGTGTCCGGCTTCAATCTAAGGCGTTATGTTTCCGCAATGGGAGGACCATACAGAGATCACGCACCCGCTTGTGAGCGGTTCCCGACACCAGTGCAACGTCAAGCGACCACAGCTCTACCATGCTCCAGTTGTACCACTCAGAACCCCACGAGAACCCCAGAGCGCCAAACGCATTCGGGATGACCGGTGACCGGTGGGGAACTGCCCGGGGCGGAACAACGAGTCCACACTGGCAGGATGGCTCGGCTGCAGACCTGAATTTCCATAGACCGTGCTGACTCTATGCCAAGGCTGGAGTGATGATACTCCAGGTGCTGGAGCAGGCTAGTTTGGGCAAAGCTTTCATGGTAGTAGCCAGCCTAACCCTGAACGATCCTGCAAGTGTTTTGGTTTTGGATGGTTTTGGTGATGCTGAATTTGTCAAGTTAGAATAATATTGCACGATATAGCAGTTGTTCCCTCCCTCTCGACAGTTTATCATCCAAAACAATCCGTTCGAAAGTGTCAGCAAGGAAAGGCTTTGCTTAGTCCGGGTTTGGTATTCGTGTCAATGTCTCTTTGTTTTGTTCCATTTGAACCCATTTAAATGTCGCTTTCTCAGTTGCCAAACCAGGTTTTTCTGATGCTCAAGAGCAATGTGTCGCAACCTGAGCAAACTCCAATGGTCGGAATTCGACATGCTCACATGTCGGCATGCCTTAAGCTTTGATGCGTTCAACCGAAACGGTGCCTTAAACTTAAAACACTTTGGGCTCTCACGGTCACGTCTTTACAAACAGTTCGGCCGAGGCATGCGATTGGAGTCTTTATTTTTCCTTGGATTGCATCATAGTTGAACTTTGTTACTAAAACTTATCAGTCACTCAAAGACTCAAAGTGTTCTGCTCCGTTTGGCAGTGCAGCTTCCTTGCCAAGCAATGCTTTGGATGACCATGTGTTGTTCCAGCAGCATATATTTTTGTTTGTTCCCTCACTCTTCAAGCCAAGAACACTTTTTTCTTCGCGAACTTCGCGAACCCTTCGCAACAAATAATCGCTGCGAAGCCGACGTCGGTGGCGTGTTTCCAGGCGAGGCTCTTGGCAGCTTTCGCTGCAGCTGTTGGATCCCGAAGCTCGCCCAGTGGGGGGTGCCGAGGTTAAGTTCGTCGTGTCTTCCCGTTGGTCGGCACGAACACATCGATGTTTTGTTCGATCTTTTGAAGAAGGACATCTGAGCTGAGTTTTTTTTTGTGCATGACAGGAATTATATGAAGGTTGTCCTGTGGTTTGTCCGCGTAAGCAAATTCGCTTGGGGGGCGTAGGCTCGCCAAGGCATTGTTGGGGAATGTTTTCGCGTAGGTTCCTTGCGTGTTTGATTGCTTGAATGTGTTGTCTCTCATGGTTTCGGTATTTTGCTAGGACAGAGGCTTAGTTCAGAGGGACAATGGCCAGCAAGGAACAAGATCCCGACACTGCACACATGCAAACAAACGATGCAGATAGTGCGTGAAATTGCTGTGGCAAAGCCATTCTTGCCAATAGCGGCGATGGTGGAAATACGATGAAATATGTTTTCTAGCGTAGGCCTCGCGTAGGCTTCGCGTACACACCGCGTAGGCGGACCTCCCATTTGTGCACTATACCCCACGTCTCCACACAACTGTCTTTCGGCTGACAAGTCTTGCCTTGCAGCTTGCTGGCAAAAACATGGAGTGAACACACGTCTTCTTACAGGTGGCAGTAGTATAGTGGTAGTCGTCGCAGTCGTAGCCGTAGTGGCAGTAGCCGAGTTCACCAGGCAGCGACGTGACTAGACCACAAGCACAGAAGAGTGAAACCCAATGGCAGCGTAGGCAAAAAACACACTACTAGTAGCAACACAAAAGCTGCATCGCGTATGCTTCGCGTAGACGTGCTTCAACTACCGCTGTCTCGCGTAGGCAAACACTGGTGGCGTAAGCATGCGCGTAGGCACCGACAAGTTACAACACTCCCACATAACAAAAAAACGCTGCTCATCTGGAGAGAATGGCATAAGCAACGAGATGAACAAAGGGATGGTGTGTGGTTCTTGAAGAAACATGGAAGAAACACTGTAAATCACTGTAATTAGTATTGTTTGTTATTTCTATTCTAAATGAGGTGAAGGCACCCTTCCTACCGGACACAGAGATGGGCTGAGAGTTGGGACAGTGCCCGCTTCATCGGTGCATACCGGCTTTCAGAGGACTAACAAATGAAAGGTCGTATTTAAATAGATATAAATATGTATATATATATATAAATAGATGCACAAAATCATATGGGTCTTTACTTTGTTTTTAAACTATATGGTTTTGCATTCGAACTGTCTCGAATCATTTTTTTTGCAAACTGCCTCCTCGCTGAACTCTGTGTTCAGACTTTAAAGGTTAGAGCTCCTTGAGCATGGGTTTTAAGAATATGACAATTTTCAGGTGATCCCCAGACCAGAATAGTCGAACATGCACCAGGCTCTGAAGGGATGGTCGGGTCGTCACACTGCAGGTCCAGCAGACAGTCTTGACTGAGACCAAACCTGTGATATCCGCCGCCACGAGCGTTTTCTGTCCCCATTTCGGAAAGATGTGCAAGGTGCATCGAAATTCGATGAACATTCGTATGGGAGTGCCGACCTCCTGCCATTTCCCAACTTGTCTTTTGTCGCCTTCTTCTTTGTGACGCATCTTGGAACATGCAGCAGTTGCAAGTCTTGCATACGTTCTGCTGAACGGTTTCACTGTTGCAATCAATCTCTACAGGGGTTCACGAAAACCCGCCAGCAAAAAAAAGGAATCACACTTCCTTGTGTGGATAGGATAGCCTTTTTGCCTCTTCTCCTTTGCCCATTCTTTTCACCCCCCACCGGTCACAAGCTTTGAGAGAATTACTAACGATCAATTACAGACATGTGATTCAAGAAGCAGGACTCATTGCTCTTTTCAGTCGTGGCTGACAGATTAGTGTGCGTGAATCTGATATCAGGTTTTCATGCAGTGCAAAGATGCTCTAGTGCCACCGAACTAGTGGTTCTTGGACCACAGTTGGAGCACCATGGTTTACATCTCCATGATCCGATCGATGGGAGCATCATTTGTTTGTGCTTGACCGGAAACCCGTTTGGGCGATCCTCAAAGCCACATGAACTTGTTTCCATTGGAGGTACTCGTAGAATGGAGAGTCCTCAAAGGGTTAATGCCCCAGGCATCCGAAGGCCAGATTTTGATGGACCCCCTTCAATACCTCGGAGATAGATACAAGCAAGAGTCTGAGCATCACATCACATAGAGTGTGGCGCCATGGAAGAGTCGTTGAAAAAAAGGAGACATGCACTCCGAGCAGCATTGCGAAAGGCTGGTGCAGAGAGGGAGAGACCACGTGATGTGCAGTCTATCTCCAGGGTGTACAAGATCGTGCAAGCCATCGGCTTTTGAAATTCCTCACACTGCATGGTGAGGACATGTGACAGCAATTGTAGCTACACTGGCTTGTTGTGGGCCAGCTAGAGCAGCTTAAACTGGCTGTTCTGTAGTCTCATTGCATGAACCCTGATGACAGGAACCAACTGCAGGCCCGCCTGAAGTCAGGCCTGTGTGCACAGGTCGAATCCTATGTTGTATAGCTTTGTAGTCCAAAAAAAACAAGTAAAATCTTGTTGAAATAATGTTGAATCCATGTAGTAATCCATGCTTTTGCGCATGGTCAGCCGTAGTGGCTGCCTATGTCTGCCTACTCTCAGGATCCTGGAAGCAAGAGTTGCAAGTCTCTTCGGGGCAGGTTCGCCGCCTTGAACGGACCTCCGCCGTGGGGAGCTGGTGGACGTGGACGTGGATCGACCAACCATTCCTACCGTAGGTGGACGAATTTGTCTCAAAGCCTTACGATGTTACAGGCATGACCCTGGTACAACCCCTGACATTTGGCATGTTGGTGAAGTTGGTTGGCTTGAGTGGACGAATCAACAAACATACTTTTCACTTATATAGCATTGAAATCAGGGGCGCGGGCGTGGGGATCTAGCATGTGGTTTAGGGGGCTGATTAAATTTGTCCATCTACTGTATCTCATCGAACTTTGGGAAACTGTTGGTCGACTTTTCAAAGTATGGGTCGATGCTTTTTCAGGCGATCGACCCAAGTTTGTTGTTGTTTCTTGTAGCTTTCAGCATGCCTCATCTTCCTCCACCGCATGTGCCATCTTATGTTGGGAGTTCCATCCTTCCTGGGACCTGGAAGCTGAACCGGTCGACCGGTGAAGCTGTAGGCCTTGGTAGCTTCCACGTTCTCTCCAGGTGAAGCTGTACTTTGGGAGAAGTTGCGGCTGCAAACTCCTCAACCTGAAGGTACGAAGACCCCCATCGGTGCAGTCCGTCCGGGAGAAGGAGAAAATTACGGAAGAGATGCGGTTCATCTAAACCCCGTGGCATGGGCGAGTTTGGGTGTTTTCTTTCGGGGGCTGTTGATGCAACTATATTCAACAACTCTTAGCTTTTGATTCTCACCCTTTGCAGCTTCTGGTTGTTGCTGTTGTTGCCCCTGAACAGTACCTCTTTGGTTGAGAGCACAGCACATCCGTGAGCGAAAACTCGCATCGTCAGAGCGAGAATTCCAGAAAGGCATCACATTCAAGCACAAAGCTATCAGTGCGAATCCACTCAACACCTTCAAGTGTCTTGAGTTTCAGCATAATGTGTGCAGATCTTTACTGGGGTGACCAGCCCTGGTAGGTGCATTCAATCTGCTTGTGGCACGCCCAGTGCAGTGCATGAAGACACCCGCCGTGGTGCTCATGCATCCCACAGGCAAGTGCAAGGCTGGATGAAGTTCTATATGTTTTTGCAAGTGCATCTATAATTTGATCTGCAGTTGCTTTCTATGGTTGTAGGCGCAGCCTCTCAAGACAACTACTAACCATCAGGGAAACCATGGAAACCGGTGGCAAGACAGTGAGGAGTTGCTTCAGAAAACGTAGCGCGGTGAGGAGTTTATGGCTGACACCATGGAGAGGTGGGCGAGGAAAGGACTCCTGACCATTGCATTTGATGCACCTTATCATGGTGAGCGAGCCCTTCCTGAAGCAGGATTGAAGCTTTTCCGACGGGACCCGTGCAATTCTTTTGGGGCGAGCGAACAACTTGGGAGTACCCATGGGACCCATGTACAAACCATCAAAACCAATCGCTGGGCCTGTTTTTTTGACCCAGTAACAAAGATGGGTAGGTGTGTAAAAAGGTCGACCACCAGCCGGTATCGCTAGCACTTCACCTATTCTCTTCGTAGCTTTGAGGAACAACAAAGCAGTGGTAGCCAAACAAGTTCAAAGATGCTCAGAACTCAGAACAGTTTCAACTGGGATACGTCCGAGAGAACGAGAATGCAAGGAGATCAACGAGAGCGGACATGGCCCACTGGTCAGGAGTGACTCATGTTACTAGTAAGGTCGAAAGCCCAATAATAATAGACTTTTGGGCTTTGTCATATAGTCAGTCTATATGACTGTGGGTGAAAACCAGGAAACCTTGCTTGACACTCCCTTGTTGGGAGTGTCCTCACGGACCGGGCCCTTTTCACGAGTCACGAGTTACTGCGTCAGTCGAGGAAAGACCTCTCCCTGAGCAGTTTGGGACCCTCGCAACTCAAAGAGATTGGCAGCACAGAGTCAGGACGATTGAAGGTCTACTTTGATGCCTTAGTGAAGGGCTACCGAAGTGGCAACGAACGGTTTGTACTGGACATCTCTAGGGATGCTCTTTGGGTCATGGACTATCTATGCTTCCGACCTGACGTGGTCCATGAGCGGATTGGTGCGATGGGTGTCTCCTTGGGTGGAATGGCATGCTGGCTCTTGGCGGCAGCAGATGAGCGTGTCTTTTCGGCGGCGCCTGCGATAGGCAGGGATGATCATGAATGATCACGGAATGTATATAAACAGTATATACTGTACGTTTGTTGCTTCGCTGGTCAAGGCGTCCAATCTTTTCACCATTCCCTGGTCAACGACCTCTGGCAAGCCCGAGTCGATTCGATTCTTCCAGCCTTTGAAACGGCGAAGACGGACATGGGCAAGTCGAAGATTGACCAAGAGGCGTGGATTGACCACGATCTGAGCGACCTCTGAGGCGTTTCTATATAAGTGACCAGAAGTGCAGGATCCCCTTGATCTCAGTAGAAGTGTTCCATTCTGAAGCAGCTCAGGGTATGCAACTCATTGCTCACAAACTATGCTTTGCAGCTCATGGCGTGCATGGCATGCTTTTGACCAGCCGATGTAACTCATGGCTGGTCACTTGCGACAATCTCATGCCGCACAACTCATGTCATGCTCTTCATGCCACGCAACTCGTGACATTGTGCGCATTTCATAACTTATCTCGTTCACGAGTATGTGTTCAGGGCTTGCAGCTTGTCTCCTTCAACTCATTCCACGCTGGAAGTTGTCAGGTGGTGAAAGCTGTTTGGGCGCAAATCGCACCAGGATTGGCAGAGGCCAGGCAGCAAATGCCGATAGTGACCCTCTTTGTTCATTCTGAACATGGGTGAATGCGCCTTCCCCTATACAATTGGTATGCCCGACGAGTTCTTTTGGGAGACTGGTTTTGGTCTTTCGTTCGCCAACTGTTTGTAGGAGCTGTCCTACTGTACGTCTCCGTTTCGCATTGATTTCATAGGTTGATTGTCATTGTCATTGATATGACAGATTCGTGGAGATTGACTTGTTTTATGATGTTTTATGTAGATGTCTTAACTATATGTGTGAGTATCGTCGTATCATGATTAGCCACTTGCTCATTTGAAGCATGCTTTGCAGCCAGCACTGAAGTAGCTGAGCAACTTTCCTAGACGAACGTGTTGCTACTGATAGCCCGCTTGCAGAAGAGGAAGATCTTCCCGACCCCTCGAGAAGTGTTCATCTATGTTTGCATTAGGGGATATGTTCTTATTATAGAAATGGGCTATCGCCCTGGTGCCGCTAATGTATCGGCTGGATGTCATTGCGTCGGGTTCAGAGAGTGGCAATTTGATGCCAAGATGCAGTGGAAAAAATAATGATGAAAGAACACACTGGAGCTTCACGTAAAGAGCACAATCCTTTTCAATGTATAATAAGCTTCAAAGTGAAGACCTGGAGCAAAGTGGCAGGAAATGCTTTTGGAAGAGCGCGCTCAAAACCCCCATGTACAAACACAATTTTCCGGAAATTACCCATTCCGCACTCCACTACACACTCCACCCACACGGGTCGGGAGGTCCAGACCCAGATCCATGGAGGGAGTAAGATTAGCGGTTGCGGGCGAAGAAGCAGCAACTGTGCCCAAAACGCACAATCTCAAAGCAAAGGCCACGGCCAACATGAAACAAGGGCAAGACCACAGTGCCAGTCACGAATGCTGCTGCTGCTGCTGCTGAGGCGGAGTGTGTGGGGCGGTCTGTGCCAGGATTTCTTTGAAGGTGTAGTCACCTCACATGCAGTTTTTTTGTGTGAGGATATATAGCTTTAGCCCATTTCATAGCACCCGAAAGAAGCAAACGTGGGGAGAAAGAGGTGGGAGCCATGGCCGCATGGTATAATTGGGGTAGGCGATAGCTTGGAACACCCAGCGAAAACCCAAGTTGCAACTTTCGGTATACCCTGGGCGCCGCCCCGCCTAGGCATAGGCTATGGCAGGTTTTGTTCTGTACTTTTTAAGAGCGGTTCTTTGACCGTTCAACACCAATGAGAGGCAGACCCGTCAAGAGAAGATGCCTTTGATGCGTGCGGCTCCCTGATGCGTCGCAATCAAAGCTTCGTGCGATGGGGCGAACGGCGGACTTCTTTGGAACACGGGTGTTCGAAGGTTCTGGATTTGTGTCAATGTTTGGAACACAATTTGGTCAAATTTGTGTCATGTCAAGATGGTCCAATTGTATGAAGTGTGAAGTTCTTCAGAACAGTTCTGCTGGGATGAAGGGAACAACTTAGCTGCAAAGGCTTGCTGATCGCACTGTAGGCCCCTGACCTTGCCATGCATCGCCCCACGCTACTTGCTGGTGGTCAATGCGGAGAAGGCATGCAGATTTAGCAACCGGGCCATGACTGTTTTTGAGTGCATCGAGGTGCTGTGAATCTACTGGATTTGCTTGGTGAGGACCCAAGATGCCCGTTAGAGGGGGTTCGCCTGTGCTTGGCTGCCGCAGAAGAGGCCCGTTTGGTTGCATTTATGTTATCTTTGTTTCGCCTTCAAATACGAAAGCAACAATACAAACGCATGTTCATGACTTGGCGCTCCGACTTCGCTCTTCCGTCTCGTGCGACTCGTGCGTCGGATTTTTTAATCGACGAGCTCTGACCCGCACACGCGGCCGGCCGGTGACAGTGGACCGGATGGCCGGTGACCGGTTGGAACCGGTCGTCTCGAGTCTTAGAACCGCATTGAACCGCGGTGGACCACAAAAGCAGGTCGTCTCCATTAATTTTCCTTGGTGGAATCGTGTGGAATCCATTGCTGAGCACGTTTGATCTTGTTCAGAATCGGACAGGTTTTGTTCTATTTTCAGATATGCAAGCGGTGACAGGTTTGTTTTGCCTTTCAGGCATATCGTCAGCTAGCATCGGGTGATGAACGATTGGTCGTCTACATTCAGCAGGCGTGGCTGTAGGGTTGTGATTCCGGACATTTTTCTATACATACTTGAGAGTATATGAAATATGGTTCATACAAATCATACGAATCATATGACAAATACCCTACATAGGGTTATAGGGTTCATACAAGTCGTATGACAATTTGGGTACGCACGGCGTGAACGTGCAGGACGTGAAGCATGCAATGACAGCAAAGATGTGGGAACGAGTGGATTCATTCCTCTTCGTGCGGACCTTAAGATTGGATAAGAAACCTTGGCGGTTTGCTTCCCCAAAGTGAACCAAGGACAAAGCAACAAAAGAACCACATGTTCCATTGGGTGTGACAGTGTTTGATGTGTTCACGTCCAGATCTAGTAGTAACAAGGGCATTGCTACTAGTAACAAGGGCAACGCAAGTAGTATCAAGGGCACTACTAGTAGTAACATTCATTATATGTCGCTTTTAGAACCACAGCCGTTTGATGTTCTTATAAATACGGTTGCTTGCTGAGGCCACTCTCGGCAGCACCAACAAACGAAAGCTGTCGCAATTGTGAGGCGAGCAACCGGCACGAGCGGCTTGGCCCTGTGCGTGTCACCAGCGATCAATGGCGTCGCTATGCGTCGCTGTCTACATCGCTTTTCTTTTTTTCCGATCGCCATTGCTATTGCTTGAAGAAACGATCGACGTGGAGCGCCATGCGAGTCGCGATGATCGCCATCACCGAACAGTTCCATCGAATCTCAGTCGACGTATTGGTGTGTAGAATCAGTCTTCGGCAGTTTGCAGAAGAGTTGCAGAATGATGCGAGTCACGTTTTTCAGCTGCAAAGCTTCCACGTTTTGGAAAGATCAACTCGTTCGTGTGGAGAGGAAAGTGTATGGTAGATGTGCTGTAAGTTTTGAGTTCAGGTCACCTTGGAGAAAAACAGCTGTATGGCACACGCAATCTATCGGAATGACCATCAATTGAGCAGCTTCAAAAACCTCTATGATGAAAAGTATGCAAACTGTAATCTCACATTCTTTCGCGAAAGCCAAAACGCAGGTCGCGAAAGGTTCGCGAAAGCCCCGCGAAAGAACCCCAGAAGAACAGCGTGGCGAAAGCTTTCGCGAAAGTCGAATTTCTTGTGCATGTCGTGTTGTTTATGTGGGTGACCATATCTTTATGCAGGCAGCCGCAGCAGGCCAGCCAGCCAGCCAGCCAGCCAGCCAGCCAGCCAGCCAGCCGCAGCAGACCAGCCAGCAGCAGCAGCAGCAGCAGCACTGAAGAGCAAGTGTTTCAGGGGAAAATCGAAAAGCCCAGACGAATTTCCGCGAAAGCCGTGCGAAAGCCTCGCGAAAGAACCGCGAAAGTCGAAAATATCCGGGAAAGGTATCTGGCCCCAGCAAAAAGTTTCAGCAAGTTTTCCTCCTCTTCTCATGACAACAATAATACTTGAACGGTGCTGCTACAACTCCTTGTGCCAGGATGTTGCCGGAAAGAAATTTGTTTAGTTTTGACCACCCTAAGGATAACTTATATAGATCAATCACTTTATTGTACAATATCCCAATCGAATTTCCCAATCGAAAACGAATCGCCGCGAAAGCCGCCGCGAAAGCCCCACATAACACCACACCTTCCGCGAAAGCCAGAATGCAGACCGCGAAAGCTCCGCGAAAGCTCTGCGAAAGCAAACCTGGATTATACAAAAAAGTAATAGGGGTTTTCGAAGCTGCTCAATTGAAGAGAAGGTGTTGAATTCAGTTTTTTCGTTGTGTTTGTATAGTGTTTGTCCCTTCTTGAGCACCTCAAGGATGCACCAGGCAGGGCAGACCGACCATCAGGAAGGATAATGAAATTGCATGTGTTTCCTTCAAATAGACAGACTGGAAGGACTGCTCTCCTCCATTCTAATTGTGACGATTCAGATAGCGGCGATAAATTACGGCAAGATGCGAAATACATTTATATACAGTGAACATGGATACATGTGGCAATATTGAATTATATAGATTATATAGATTGAGAGTCATCATGAGCCAATTTAAAACAAGTGTATAGCGTGACACCACAACCTTTGCATGGCACGGATTTATCCGACTGTATTTTGCTGCAGCTGTAGCAGTGGCATTGATGGCATCAACAAGGGAGTTCAACAGGTGTTCTGCTTGCAACTGAAGGACTGAAGGATGCGCCACATCGTCCATCTCTACTGTTACTCTTTCAACAATTACTGTAGGTTAGATTGCATTTTAAGACGGTTGGTTTGCATTTAAAACGATCATCAATCAAGTGAGTTAAAGCCTTTTTCACGTGCAGTTCTTCCATGTTCTCGTATGTTCACTTCCGGTCACGATGGATCCTTGCCCCCCCCATGGGCTGGCATAGCAGGCGGAGAATCTCGGTCGAAGGTAGGTCAACGGGCGTGGAAGGTGGGTGAAACAGGTTGATTTCTGCCTGAAGGACCAAACATGACGCACATCAAATAGAGGTCAAACAACTTTATACGATGTCTCTTCCTGAGTTTTGCACTCGATTGAGAGGCTGAGACCATGGTGAAAGATGCATGGCTCGGAACTCAGGTCTCCCGACTCGCTCGAGACGTCGGCAGGTGGACTGTGAGAAGCCGGGGGCGATTGAGATTCACCAAGGGTGGTGTTATGAATAACAAGGGGATCGCTACGAACGTAACAAGGGCATTACTAGTAGCAAGAAGCTACTAGTAACAAAGGCCATCGCTACTAGAAACAACATAGTTTGACTGTTACCTTCTCACCTACGCGGTAGGGGTCAAGACCTGGAAACTCTACTCCGGCCACTTTTCCACGGCATCTAGTCAGCCGTCGGAGGCAAAGAACCGGCCCAAAGGGTGGATTGCCAATTATTGGGTCACCTCCCAAAATGCATCAAAACAGATGTCCGGATGCTTGTCCTTCTGAGGCTCCATGTTGGACAACAGAGGTATATGATTTGAACCTGTTGCAAACCCGAAGGTTTTGATTTCACTGGGGGCCAAATATTTGAAGTTTGACGGAGACAAGGTTTGATCACAGTGGAGCATGTGATTCCGAGAGTGACAAGCACGGTGCCAAACAGAGGGTTCAACTATATAGACAAACGAAGTGCTCGTTTCTAAGCAGTGGTGAATTCTCATGTGCCGCCTGTACTGCCGCTCTGAGGGAAGTGGAAGGTCGCGACCCAGGTGGGAGAGGATGGAGGATGAGTTGTTTTGTTTGAAGTCTTCCACTGGCCTTTGAGGCAAAAACAGAGGTCAGGCAAGGTGCATAGCCAGCACCTAAAGTATCCGAGAACAAAGTTCACCGACAAAGAAACACACACACTGATGAGATGATCCCCGGTGAATGAGTGTCTATAACGGAAGGGTTCGCCGGGTATATGAGATGAATCTCTGTGCTTTTTCCGCCTTCTCAATGTGTACATAGCTTTGGCGTCCCAAAGCCATGAGGCTGTGCCACAACACCTTGCCCCTTACGTTGCCTTCCTACACCGCGCGCGAGCACTGAAGGTGTTGCTCGAGAGCTGAAATACTATTCTCGGAGCTATGGTGGGCCGTTGTCCCAGGTGATCCAAACAGATCGAAGTCGGAACCAGATCGAAGTCATTTTAACGCGGGGGGGTCCGTCAACCGCTCGAGATCGATCTTCGTCATTTTCAGCGGCTTCGTCCTCCGAATTGGACTGGTTCGTTGGCGAGTCGCTTTGTATACCCCTTCTGACCAGAAGCTAAAGCCTGCTCAGGTCAGCGGACAGAGGATCAAGTCACATCAAGTCTGTACTTCTGACCCAGGTCTGAGCTTGTTCCACCTTGAGGATGTTTGATGAAGAAGCAGCCCAAAAAGTGTAGCATCATCTTCAGGTCTGATCAAGAAGCTGAAGAAGAAGCCCAAGAACAACGGCAGCGCATGCAAGTGCTGCACGAAGATGGTCGGGAAGCCTTGCTTTACGTCACGTGCATCCTGCAGCCTGCGTGAAGGTGTCAGGTGGGTTCAGTGAGTGAGCGAGAATGTGCACCGCGTGGTGTTACGTGGGTGAAGGTGGTGGTGTGGACGACGAACTGTAAGATTTATTGAATCAAGTCAGCAAGAGCAGTTCAAGTTAGGGTCATGAACATGATATGAACATGTTCAGAGCTCCAGGCGAATTGCTGAAAAGGCCCAGCTTATTCAAGGATTCTTCTTTTCTTCTATTTTTTCCCTAGCATCATCTAGCATCTTCAAAGTGATACATCAGCAGGAATGTGAGGAAGAGCAAAAGGCCACTACAACCCCCTAACACCCGTAAGCCATATCTCCCTACGCTCACGCCTGAATCAGAAGAATTCAGAAACAAGAAGTTGACATCACGCTGCTGTTGTTGCTGCCGTTTTTGTTGGAGGAAGCAGTTCATTGACACCCGACCCCACCACCCAACGCTTGTTGCTTGCGGCTTATTATTGTTCTGAGATTGGATCTTAATTAAGGGAGAAAGTAAAGGCAGACTGCGAAACATTGGACAAGTCTCGGGTCAGAGAGAAGAACTGCACTCATGTTTCATTGACGCAATCGGCATACTTCTTTCTTTTCAGTATACCAAACATGAACATGCCGCATATTCGGTGACTTGCTTTAGGTTTGGTGATAATAAGACCAGTGGGAGATTGACTCTCCGTATGGTCCCGGATTATGTTTGGGGGGGTCCAAATAATAACTGTTCAGCAGGTGGCAGTTTGTCAGACTG